GGTACATGTACATTGAACATGTACATGTACATGTACATACATGTACATGTCATTTCTGGGTAATTAATTGTAAAGCGTATAGTGTAAAGTGAACAATGATCACTGGTCGGGATTTCTTTTTAAATAGGGGGGGGGTGGCTGACAACTGATTCTATATCTACATGAACATGTATCTTTCAAGATCCATCTGTTTTTCTTTCTAATTTTTGTTTTAATTAGATGCACATGTGTACATGTAGGTACAGTAACTTCAATAAAAATTCTTAGAGTGTAGTTCGCTGTGAACTGCGTCGATTAAAACTGGTCAACCAACCCGGTGAACCTTGATAAGTTTGGTCTTCAAGTGATTAAGACGTGCTGGTAAGCTGGCCTGTCGTGGGTTCGAGTCCTGCCCAAGCAAGCTGGTTAATTTGTTGGTTCTCGAACAAATTCCATCCAAAGTTATTACTAACTGCTTCTACCATTGACCATGTACATCTGATTACTCAGGGGAGTCAGGTTGGCGTAGCGGTACTTTCCTCATCTTCCACCGCTGTGACCCGGGTTCGAATCCCACCTGGGCCAATATGTGGATTGGGTTTTCAGTCCCTACCTTATTCCGTGGGTTTTCCCCAGAATATTACTCTGGGCTTTTCCACCCACCTCTAAAACTGTAATTGCTTCTTATTGTCTTCTCTCCACAGGTTTCTTCAGGCTTGCGAGCTACACATCCTAGGGTGCTTTTGAGGAATCCTTGGTTTCATTTAATACCAGAAATGATTAATAATAATAATAATTCTAACCAGCCAACCAAACTCAGAGAGCTTGAGTGGTCAATTGGTTCCAACATCTGCACTAGTAAGCAGGAGGTTGCAGGTTCAAGTCCCCTCAGAGTAAAACTGTTATTTGTTTTTCTCTCAAAAGCTATGCATGTACATGTACATGTGTATGACAGCACTAAGTTTACAGAGCATTGAAGGGAAAAAGCAATGTAAAAAGAAAAATTACTTTTTAAACATAATGTACAGTACCTCATTTTTGTCAGAACTGTTGTCATCAAAATTGTACAACTAGCCATACATACATGTACATGGTTATTTATACACACACTGTACATTGTGTTCAGTACAAATTTAGGTACCGGTACCCTGTACATTTATCTTGCATACTGTATACCGTTAACGTTGGATTAAAATATTAGAACAATTCTCCATCATGTGCATATGTAACAATCTACCCGCTTCCTATACATGTACATATATATACATGTACGTGTAGATCTACATGTAACTATCTTATACTATGTACAACATTGAATACACAGCTAGTCCTTCCACCACACTTCCACCATTTCCTCTGGCAACTTACCTGACTAGTCATTTGATATCTATCCATCATGTGAAAACAATTCCAAAACAAGTGCCAAAAACCCTAACAGTCCATCCAAACCAGGTTATATGAACTTGTAGCTGTAGAACTTTCAACAACTTGTGCTCGCAACAATAGCCAATTTGGGAGAACGTCATTTGCACTAGAACTCGCAAACTACCGGTAGCTGGTATACAAACATGTAGAAACTTCCCTTTTGCAAAAACAAAAAAAATAATCTGCATGTTTGCTTGAGTATACAGGAAAGGAAATCGAGTGCGCAATTATCATGCAGAGCCAAGGCTACAAGTGCATTGTGGGAGCATGCCCGGATAAGGCTGGATGAGCTATTGATATAAGGTGGAATTCAGCAAAGCCTGCGGTGCATATGGACATGATAGTTACTGTATCCACTCAACCCTATACACAACTGCCCTAGATCTACTGAACATGTTGAAAACAAATCCACACGTCCCCAAATTCTGGCAGGGTTTTGTTGGAAGCTTTGAGTCAGTACAAGTAACGTACGTGGTTTAGATTTTGTTGAAGTAGAAAGTACAGTACATATATACATGTACCCGTGTCATTGGGTCAATGTACTGTGTCAGATATTTGTCAAGAGCGGATCCAGAACACAATTTTTGGGGGGGACCAAAAAATTTTGGGTCCCCCCAAAAAGTGGGTCAAACAAATTATGCCGTGGGGTTTGGGGCCCGCTTAAGGGCCCCGAAAAAATTTTGGATTCAAGATGCTCTGTGGTGCGATCTGAGGCAATTTCTGACCACTTTAACCAATGTTTTCTTTGAGGAAAAGATGGTGGTGTACTCATTGCCTGCCTTTATTGCGATGTCAAAAAGTGGGTCAAAAAAATAATGGCGTGGGGTTCGGGGCCCGCTTAAGGGCCCCGAAACATTTTTGGATTCTAGATGCTCTGTTGTGCGATCTGAGGCAATTTCTGACCACTTTAACCAATGTTTTTTTTTTTTAGGACAAAATGGTGTTTCACTCATTGCCTGCCGTTATTGCGATGTCACATAAAAAAAAAATTATTGATTTCGTTTTTTGGGGGGGGCCATGGCCCCCTTTGCCCCCCCCCCCCCCCCCCCCCCCCCCCCCCCGCCCTGGATCCGCCCTAGATATTTGTGGACTCACGAATATTTCTAGCAAATTAGAAATGAAGTTTTCCTCGATGCAAAAACTCAGATATTCCTAATGTCCATTCAGCATTAGAGCAATTTTAGCTTCCTCGTAAACACACTTCTCTTTTTTAGAAGCAAACTGACATTCCAATCCTAAACAACACATTTGTAAGTCAAAGTTTGAAGAATGCGAAACTCTGACGAAGTTTTCCATACAGTGTACAGTGGAATTGCCTCTGTAAAAATACAAACTCATATCAGAGTGATCTGAAACACTGTGCCCTCTGGAGACGTGCACACAATAGGGAACAAAAGATTGTATACATGTATGTCTCCACAGGGCAATTTCTATAGATGAATATGTCTCCACAAGGTTTTCATGAAATTTACTCAAAAAATTTTACTCAAAAACCAGGAATTTCCAAGGTGGGTTGATATGTCGTAAATGGAAGAGTTTTAGAAAAGAAATATTAAGTCCAAATTTCAACCAAGGAAATTAATTCTGGTTAAAATACACATGTAAGAGCATTTGAAACTTCACTTTCAAACTCAAAAACTTTACTATAACACGAGAACAAAGATATGTCTCCACAAGGATACAAATTTCGGTATGTGTGTGTTGGACCGGAAAACTATCTGCATGCTGGCACAAAACTTCCACAGACATGACAGAATCACTTCTTCAAAATCCAGATGGAAAACCACTACGGCATGCAGTTGCGCAACTTTTCCCAGACCAAAATGTCTTTACAGGGGTCAGTCAGTCCACAATTGGACACTATGACACATAAACTAAATCCAGCCCACGTACATGTACCCCAGAAATTGGAGTTGAGTCAAGTCTGAGATAAATATACCACAAAGATGGCAGGCAATGGCTTAATTTGGGACCAGAGGTCAGAGACGGACTTCAAACTTGGTCATCATGGTCAGTTGAAAGCATGTCCCACTGGATTTTAAGTACCAGTAGTCCAACACAGCCTCATCATCTCTCCAATTGGATTCAAATTTTGAGAATGGCCAGCAAATCTGTGGCCAATTTAATACCTGTCTGTCACAGCCCTACTTCTGTCACTATTGAGGGGGTACTACATGTACATGGATGTACTTGTCCACTGAGTTCAACGAGTTCAGAGAGGATCTCACCCAAAAATATTTTGGACAATTCGGTACTTTTGTAAAACTCTTCACCTTTCACACACAACTTTCTTGACCAAAATGTGCCACTAAGCACAATATTTTGTTACCAGCCTATTAAGGTATATGTATGTATGTCATGTATGTGGGATCATTTGCCTTTTGTGCATTTTGTTTGATTGTTTGTTTGTTTAAAGCAACAGTGGTGCTCAAAATCATAGGTTATAGGCCCCAAAAAAAGAATTAGTTCTGCTTCCGGTTACCCTACCTACACTATTATGACAGCCCCTACCCTAAGTTTTTCTTTTTTGGGGGGGGGGGGAATGAGGGGGAAAAAAACAATTTTTTTTTGGTTGTAACTAAATCTTTGATGTTTTAGCTCAGGCAACTGTACATTTTCAGAACACAGAGAAATCCATTATTTTTATGCATAAATTTGGGGTTCTTCCGTACTGGATTCTGTTGCTGGGCAATTCCATGAGAAAGTTGATGTGGTTAAAAAGTGGACCATTTAATGTAGTCCCCGCAACTACGGAAGAAGTATGAGTGAGTTTGTGGTTTTCAAGCAGAGCGAAAAGCTAATTTTATGTCAATTGTTTTTTTGTGAGATTACAATTTTCTTGATGTACATGTACATGTAGGCCTATGTTTTGTAAGGTACGAAAGATGGGTGGACAAACTGTAACGTGAGTTACCGAAATAAACACCTCCAAAAAAGAAAGCCACACTCCCTAAAGGCATCATAAGTTTGAATGTGATCGTCTTATGAGAACTTCATTTACATGTACATGCGTGACGAATTTATCAGCTACATTTTGATGCACATGTATCCTAATTGCTACCAAAGGCTGTAAACTGTCCAAGATTGACAACGGTTTATGAAAAATGGTGCAGTTTGAAAAGTTGCACATTTAAAGAGTACGCGAGTCAAGTGGAAATTGCTGCGAGACAATGTGACACTGTCCGAAACGAGGGGCAGGGAATATCGATTGCACAGTGCTTGCATGCATGGGAGCACAAGAAATTGAATAACCCCCTCTTTGTACAGGTACTGTGCAGTCAATTTCTCCTCGAGATCTCTATTCTATGTACATGTTCATGTATACTGGTGATGTACATAAGTACCCTATGCATAGTCCCAACAATAATCCGGGAAAGAAGTAATGTTCACATTATGGTACTCGCTTGGAGAAGGATGTTAATAGACCGCTTGCAGACGTGTTCGATAATCGACGCGCGAAGGCGCGCGACGCCATGTTGTGGGACAGGCGTATATCAATTCACGCACATTTTGTCCCATAACATGGCGTCGGTCACCTTAGCGCGCCAATTATCAAACGCGTCTGCAAGCGGTCTATTGTTTGAGCTTCTTGTTACCGTTAATAATCGGCTGCGTTGCCTTATCGACGGTTCCAGCCCGCTGTCATGCTCAACATGGCTGCCTGGCTCTGTGTAGGTGTGGGTAGCAACTGCTCGCTTCTCGCTGCTTGTCTTCCTGCTCCGCGACAGCTACGAGAAGAAAACAATTAATAAACAAAAGTCAATTGTGAATTTGAGAAAACAGAACAAACATAACCACAATATTTAAGATCTCGATTTCCATTCCAAAGTGGCTGAGTGTGACTCGAGTCATATTTGCAATGCGCTCTCTCATCAAGACACAATCCCCAACTGAGCATTCGGGACATGACTCTCATTCAGCCGATTGTCACCCATGCACGGATTCACCCAATTGCAAACCAAATCTCCATAAACGTGTCACTTGACACATCTTTAGAAGCTTGTTGTTGTTCTTCAAAATGACAGCATCACAAGCCAAATGGAACACTTTCACGGGGTTTCAAGTCATTACTACATGTATCTTTAAACAAAGTAAGCATTTTCACAATAATTTGGTTGGTTACTTTTTGGATGGCTGCAATGATCTACCCTACCTTTCAAGAGTTGCTCTGAAACCAAATTACTCAAAAATGTTTTAAATCACTCGTGTCAAGTGGACACTGGAGAGCCTGAAAAACTGGTTCATATCGGTACATGTACTTCATGCAATTAAGTGCGGTTCCAAAACAAGGGCAAAATTCACATCAGCTGAAACGCATTCAGCTTCTGCCAATTTGCATGAGGACTCACCAGTATGTCACAAATTCGCATTCTCACCATCTGGACTTTGAATGTGTTCTTAGTCAAGTCGAGTGCTGAACAAAATACTGTGAAATATGTCCACCCCGTGCAGTGTGAGGCAAGTAAATGGATGTTTGCGTGCAAGTGGTGATGTGTGCATGCGTGTGCATCATCAGATATGCCAGAAATGACTAAGTCTCATCAAGGACTACTGGTTTCAACAAGCCTTGCACCTGTGGATCCAGCAATTATTTTAAAGCCTAACTTTCCCCAGTTGAACTGTTGTGAAACGTCGTCACATAACTCTCTACATTTTGTACACTGTGACAGGCCACCCTTAAAAGTCATGATACATGTAGTAAGGGTGACATGCTCTACATGTTCCGACAACCCGCACATAAGATTGTGTTACTCCCGGTTAGGATTAGGGTTATAGGGTTAGGAATAGGAATATGTGCAGTCGGAATATAGGGGTGTCGTCACGTACATGCGTGTCGGAATATAGGTGTATCGGAACATACCGGTACATGTATGTGTAACTGTAACCATAGTAAGGCTATTTCCAAACAATCCTTTCGTAAGTTCAGTAACAAGTAACGAGATGAACAATGTAACAAAGGATTGTTTTTGTAACAGTTCATTTGAGTGTCTAGTGACTTGCCTTAAAACTGAAGAACTTGTGATGGACTTGCATGTTTACCAAGCGCGAGGATTCACGCACAGGGTAAATACGCATGTGTAGTGGACTGTTGCACGGCTTACCCTTGCGACAGTCTACTACGCGTGTGCTTTACAAAGCAATCATGCTTCATGAACATCACCCAAACGAGCTACACACGTACATATACGAAGAGATGGTTGCATGGCGCGTTATTTTCCCGAGCTCAATGATGCCGAACTAGAGAATATTTATGGACAAAAAGATGCCTCCTGTACAAAAGAATGTTGTACACAAACTACTGTATTTACAGCTGCAATGTACTGCAAACGAACTGAACTAGTGAATTTGAGCAATACGATTCTAGTGGTGAACTGGACAAGTTTTTTTTTTTTTTTACTTTCTTGAGGTGCATACTGCAACGACGAAAAAACCCCAACAAATCAGCGCTAAATATGTGTGAGGTATAGTAAAACAAATATAACATCGGTATTGGAAGTTGTCAAACTAGTTCCCTCGGCAACTTCCAATACCTCGAGGAGCGAATATCGACTGTCCACCCTCAAACCATGTTGTATTTGTATATTAATTAACATGATTAAGCAGAGTCCATCACAAGTCCTCATACATGTAAGTCCTCCAGTCCTAAAGCTGTTCAAATGGACCATGACAAAGGATTCCTTTGTTTGATGTTTTTCATCCTCTATTAATTGCGATTGGACTTGTGAATTGACTTGGGATTTACTCACGTCAGCAGACCTGTGTTGGACTTGTATGAACTTCGTTAGTTTCTCCGCACAAAATAATCTTTTAATTTTTTTTTTCATTTTGAACACATATGAATTTCAGTTATTTTCTTCAGACGCATGCAATCAGCTCCCAGTCCTTCTGATTTGAGGCGTGCGATCGCACCCCCACACCATCCCACGCCTAAAAGCTTCCCGAGAAGTGCGAATAAACGCACGCCTAAATCCCTCTGTACCGCACACCTTGGCATACATTTACAGCATACATGTAATTATACTTCATATTTTGTGAAAAAAAAGGACGTCACTTACTGTTAACCCTAATACCCACCTCACTCCTCCAAAATCCTCCTGGCGGTTTTGGAGGATTCGGAGGATTCTAGAGGATTGAGGATGAATGGTGATTGAATCAAACGAGGATTCTGGACGATTGAGGATGAATGGTGATTGAAGCACATGAGGATTTTGAAGGAATTGAGGATGAATGATGATTGAAGCACAAGAGGATTTTGGAGGATTGAGGATGAATGCATTTTGAGGCAGGACTGTCTGATGATTTTGAAGGATTTGGCGTTGGTTATCCTTCATTTAAACACAAGTGCAAATTTTTGGGATGAGGAGTATTTTGGAGGATTGACGATGAATGCATTTTGAGGCAGGACTGTCTGACAATTTTGAAAAATTTAGGTGAAGTTGCAAAATTTTGGAGGATTGAGGATGTTTCTTAGCAAAAAGGGCCTGGGGGTTAAGGTTAAACCAGGATGAATATTATAAAAAAAAAATACCAGATTGTTCAGTCCCAGCTTGGACCACAGAATCACACGCTTAGAAAAGTCACACGCCTAGAAAAATCACACGCCTAGAAAAATCACACGCCTAGAAAAATCACACGCCTAGAAAAATCGCATGCCTAAGATAAATCACACGCATAGAAAAATCCAAGTGTGCCTTTTTCTACACGCCTGTGGTTTCCAAATCAGAAGGACTGAGCTCCAGTACATTGTATCAATGCATGTTTAGGAGCGCATGTGTATACAATGAATATGCATGAAGTTCACATTACAACAGGCAGGCCCACACATACCGGTAGCAACAGGCAAACAGAAAGTTGTTAAGATACCGTATTACCAAGGAATCCACCTTTGACCCTTCCGCGACCCTTGCTGACCCCTACCTCATCATTCTCATCATCGATGTCGTCAATGACCTCTAGTCCCGGGATGCTCAAACGGTCCTTCTCGGGTTCGTATATGCGCACCGAGCGCCAAGAACGGTTAGGCTCAGAAAATCGCTATCGTTAAAAAGCAGAAGTTAGTGCACACACACAGTTAAAAGCATGATAAAGTACAAAGCATGGTGAGAATTATGGAAAATGAAAAAGTGTCCAAGCTCAAATTATTAGGCTGAAAAAAATTGAGTGTTAACCGTAACAGCCTTAAAGTACCCAGGTCAGGTATGGTAGGAAGGATAACATTTTATTTTGAAACTTTTTTTAATGTTTGTTCGTATTTTATACTTTCTTTGTTTACGTTAGGGTGCCTACCGGTATGTAAGTACCGGTACCTTTAACAGTATTCTGTTTAATTAACCTGTTAACTATTGAATTAAACCAAAACAAATTCACATCGCGAAGACTTTTAATTTTCAAAACATTTTTCATTTCTAATTTTCTGCCAAAATGTGGCATTGAGGTTGGCAATTCGGCCGGAAAAAAATCCAGCTACGGTACATGTATTGGTAGATCAGGTTCCCTACTGTAAATTTATACACAATTTGTTTCAGCCTTATATGATTGTAGCAAAAGGATAACGAGTTGAGAACCATATTGGGCATACATGTACATTAAAAATGCTTGGAATACATGTGAATATGGCTAGATGTATGTACATGTAAACTCTGCCCCTTTAATGCTTTATCATATGGAGGATCAGCTGTTCATGAATGCAGGGCAATGATAAATCTGAGCATGCCAATTTTATGCGACGATCGACCCCACGGGCCAGCCAATTGGAGCCGCCTTCAGAAGGGTTGATGTTCGTCTCAAGCCACGCCTTCTTCACTCGACGAACGAACTGACTGACTGACTTTAAAAGTTGTGACTTCAGTTACATTTATACATGTAGGCGCTTTAAAGGGCCTGTAAAACTGTCACGTTCTGCATGGAGTTCGTACCGCGACCAAGAAAATCAGCTTGAATGCGGTGGGAACGCTGATGACGGCGTGGGGACTCATTGATACTAGTTGAGGACTTTAGAGGGACTCCAACGACTTCGCTGAACGCCAAACTGCCACGTTCGCTTTGAACATGCACAAAACAAACGCCGTGCCTCGGCGTTTTGACCAGAACGTGGTAAAGACTCTATGCGAACTCCTCCCGAATGGCCATGACGCACTGGCAACGTGCAGGCTGACGGGAGCGACGTTGTGAGAACTCCACGAACGTGCATGCATCAGGACTGTGCGTCTCCTCTGCGTTTCATGTGTCTATGCCTTTAAATATGTGAAGACTCATGATGAATATCGCCTGTTTTGGCCCGAGTATACACGCCGCGCTTCTGGCTGTTTTAAGGTCGTATCAAGCCCGCGAAAAGGACTCCATGAACGTCGTACGAACGTATTGGACACCATGAGGATGCAGCGAGGACGCAAAGGACGCAGCGCAGACATCTAATTGGTCTTCAATGAAACTCATAGAGAACGCCGCAAGGACGCTATAGAACGCCACAGTGACGTCTTAGATTTTCGGTGGACTTCACAGAGAAGCATTGCAAGCCACTGGTCTTGCGTCTTCATGGCGTTTTGTTACATTTTCAAGAATCTCAACAACGCAATATGAACGCCATGAATGGACGTGACAGTATGACAGGCCCTTAAAGGGAAGTACATGTACCGGGTACATGATGCAAATGACAAAAATGAGCAGAAATGCTTGTCACCATGTACATGTATCATGTACATGTACATGTACAAGGTTACTATGTGAACTACATGTACACTGTACTAAGCAAGCAAGTTGATTTACACAAATGTTCATGGGCATCAGTAGGTGGGGGACGGGGTAAGCCCCCCACTTTTAAAGTGGGCCCATATCGTTTGGTCCCCCCCCCCCCCCCCCCCACTAAAAAAAAATGGTTAACTGCAGAAACATGCCTAGCAGATCTCACCACAGAGCATCTACCGGTAGAATCCAAAAATGTTCCCTTAATGTGGGCCCCAACCCCACGCAGTTACTTAGGCCTATAGGGCTTCGCGCTTGCATTAGTTCTGATCAAGGTACCGTATGTACCGGTAACCCCCCCCCCCCCCACCCCACTTTTGAGAACCGATTGACGCCCTTGCAAATGTTCATTGTAGTTGTACTCATGTACACAAATGTACATTTTTGATGCGTTCCTATTTTTACAGAAGGTTCATGGCAATTGCATAGTGTACATGTGTGCATGTACCGTACGTGTATTAGCCTACCTACATACATGTACTGTACCTGCACAGTGTAACCAGGAAATGGAGTGAAAAATAACACTGTACATAGTTTCCGTTGTAAAAGGAATGTACATACGTGGAGTACTGTTGTGCAGTGAACAGCGTATTGTACAGTAGTATGACTCTTTTCAAGCTATGCATATTTCCAAGCGATAAGCCAACACAGAAATGCAATTTTGGAGTTGAACTCCTTAGTAATATGCTAAAATCTACCATGTTTATTACTACTACCGGTACATGTACAATGTATGTACATGTATGGCCCGTCACGAAGTTTTTCAGGAAGGGCCAAAAGTCTTGAAATCCCATGATGACAACACTGACAACCCTTTCTGCATGTGCAGCACATTTTTTTTTATCAAACTCCCAGGGAAAAAGTCATGAATTAACGTGACTCTGTGTACTTCAAGGACTATTTTCATCCTTGTAGGAAGTACATGGGGAAGGGGGGAAGGTTATTAATAGACTGGGCCTAAGTCCACGGACAAATCTGATTAGGGGCTTTCTCAAGTTTGGACGAACTTCCAATTCCAATTCTGGCTTTAGCGTTGCAGCCAGCTTCATGGAAACATTACCCACACAACTGATATCCAAGTAGGGAGAATTGTAGGTAAAAACAAGTTAAAAGCCAACATGTGGAATAGCTCCACATCATTTGCTTGGGCTTGAATTAACCCTTGCTCTCTGAGGGTAGTTTACTGCATGTCAGTTGGTTATGCCAATGCCCTCCAGCTGCAGTTTATTGGCAGATAGTTTGTCTTAACAGTGAAGGCTCCAATTGGCAGGAGTTGGAGGCCCTGGAGGGTGCCTGATACTGACCAGCTGGGGGCACTCACTTTGTTATCAGAGGACTCTCATTGTTCTCTGTGGCATGTATTGGAGTGCCTGTCCAGTTACCCTTGAAATGACATGGCAGATATTGGAGGGCCGTGCAAAAAACATGGGAGATTTTCTTGAGGCACGTATTGGCATGCGTTGGAGGGTCTAGTAGGGTAAGGGTTAAAGTGGAAAATGTTTAAAACCACATAGACAAAGACAGTGTTAAATAAGTTGTTTTTTTTTCATTACTAAAAACCACATTTTAACATTGTCTTTGATTGGCTGGCACGCGGTGTCGCATAAAATTTGCATGCTAAGATATCAGACATTCTTCATATGATGTGAATGTCTGATACTTACATACATGTAGATTATGTTAAAAGTTCTGCAAAAGGTGACAAGTGCTGGTAAGCAAAGTGAGTGAAATGAGCAAGCAGAAATGTTAATTTTTCCATAGTCTACACCAAGAAATGTTTAAACCTAAACAAAGGTTAAACCTGCCACTGCGACCTGTGACCTCGGTACTTTAACTTTGAAATCTGACCTTTGAAGTGACACGTGCTGGTATCCCAGGTTTCAATGACATGACCCTGCCGTGCCAGAACGTTGGTTTCTTCGTCTCGTCGTGAGGCTCTGGTTTCTTCCAAAGATGACTGCCAGGGACCGAGTAACCATCTGCGTCTATGACGGTGTCCCGCCGATCAGGCTCATTGACAATGCTGTCCTCGCCTGTCTTGGATTTTGGGTAGAGCGGATAGATGGGTTCATCGTAGTCCGACACCCGGCCCGTTTGTTTGCGCTCCTGCAACTGGCTAAACTGCTTCGGTGGCTTGTACATGTACCCTGGTGTTTGGTGCTCTTTGCCGACGTCCTCACTAGAGTGGGAACGGGTCAGGCTGTTGGCGGGGTGGCGATCATACTTACTGACGGGAGTGGTTTCGCTACGAGGTCGTTCTGGAGCGAGAGGGTCAGTCAGTCCAGAGGGAGATACTGAGTCAACCGTGCTGACCTCTGAACTTTGACCCCTGGGTCTATGAAGCGGTGGGGTGTAGGGAGGGATGTTGGGCACAGGAGGAAGTTCTTTGTGTCTACCCGGCATCTTGGCATCAGGGGTGGAGGATTCAAACTGAGGTCTTCCCTTGGGTTTATCTTCCTCGTCCTCTTCGTCTGGGCCAATCTCGTAGAGGGGATTGACTAGTCTGCTGTTTTTCAGGCCACTGTTTGGCAGCTGCCGCTTTTGCTTCATAAGCACTTTAGATTCCTCGTAGATATCATGGTCGTACGTCCTCTTCGGTTTTGCGGGTGGGAGCAACGGCTCAGGAATTGACTCAACCTCCGAGTGAATATCAGAGACGCTCTTTGATCTCCTGCGCTGTAGCCTCCTCGGCGGAGGCACTGGTCTAGTTCTGGTTTCGTTCTCTTGGCTCAACCGATTCAGTTCGGCACTCCTGCGATGGATGTTATTTCCTGGGATCACATCCAGAGAGGCGCCATTTTGCTTGGGTTGACCTTTTTCTACCCTGGTGTCTTCTTTCGTCTCAAAGTTTTTTATCATCTCAAAGACTGTACTCCGGGCCTCGGGATAGTCGGCCGAACACTTGCGGCCATTTCTCAGTCTCACCGGCGTACCCTTTACGTAAACGACGTCCGACCTTGTCTGCGCCACGTTTGTCGGTTTGCCTGGCAGAGGTGGCTTACCCTTATCCACCTCTGCAAATGTAAACTGGCCATTCTTGGTTACGGTTGGAGATGGTCTGGTCACCAACGTCTTTGACCTTATCTTGGATCTCTCCGCCGCAGCTGGCGACATTACGCCAGTGCTTATAGGACTCCTTGGGGGTTCATTTTTGCCCAATTTTAGCCAAGGGGGCGTCAGAACGCCTGGCATATCTGTCTCAACTTGAGACCACCTCTTGTGCTCGGGTGACACAACTTTAGGGTAGCGGGCCTGCTCCGAGTTGTTGGCTGACATGTTCTTGTTGACAACCGGCTGGTTCGACTTCTCTTCAAAGAGATGGATGCGATCTTTGAGCTTGACATCCTTGAGTTGGGCGGGAGTGCGGGGTTGGCTGGTTGGAGGGTGTTTCTCGGCCATCTGGTGAGACCGTGTGGTCGTGTCCAGCTGTCGCCGGTTATAGCATCTTACACGCTCGGGAACCTGCAAAGAAAAACAAAATTACAATGTACATGTAAGTTAAGAAAAAATTTTTGAAAATTGAACCTTAACAAAATACACAAATCTATGTATACATGTACATCCAACATGGGGTAATGCAGGCATTACAAGCCCATCACAAGTCCATGGATCACAATTGCGTCACAAGTCAATCACAATAAAATGACAAGTCCATCACAAGTCCATTGAAGCCCATCACAAGTCCATCACAAGTTCATCACAAGTCAATCACAAGTCCATCACAAGTCCATCACAACTCCACCACATCACAACTACATTACAATTCCATTACAAGTCAATCACAAGTCCATCACAATAGTCAATCACAAGTTCATCACAAACTCCATCACAAGTCCATCATAAGCCCACCACAAGTCCATCATAAGCCCACCACAAGTCCATCACAACTTCTCATACATGCAAGTTCATCACAAAGTCCATCACAAGTACTCACAATTACGGTAAGTCACTAATGAAGTCACAAACTACATGTACATGCATTAGCGAAGGCATATCACTCTGTCATGTCTGCTTACTTTTAAAATGTTCAACTTGTGATGGACTTGTCATGCTTGTGATTGACTTGTCGAAAATGCCTCCTTAAAAAAACTACCTGTACTAAGATGACACCCAAACAAATGAGTTTATGATACACTGTACATGTACATGTATCCTCCCAACTTGTTATTCAGCACTTCTCCTGACTTTGCTGAAATAAATTCACACAAAAAAGCCCATCTGACACAAAAATCACCCATGGTACCACTTTCCTTCAATTCATGGGTTCACAGGGCAACACAAAAGCCAGTACACCATAAAAAGTACTTACATGTACCACACTTTCCTTAAATCCATGGGTCCTCATTGCTATAGAAACAGTTACCAATAAGAACTCCAAACGTAAAGAAACGAAGGACTGGACACAAAGTGTCGAATGATGTCAGACAAAACTTGCAGATGTTTTTGCTTCACAGGAAGATGAATAAATAGTACCGGTGCATGTTGCGTGTTGGGTCAGCTATGCCTAACCATAAACCTAATGATAGAGACTCACACACCGGCACCCACACACTCCGACTGCAACCACAGCAATAATAGGAAATTGGTGCCACGCTCAAAACGTCAAAAGGCCTTCCCTCCGCCGTTCCCCAGTGACTTAGCATACAGTAGATGAACCGGCTGTACACGTACCGTAGGATAGTTTAGGAATGGTTTGGATTTGTAACTGAACTTGAACGCCAAATGAAAACCTAAAAGTTATAACAAGTTCAGATGCACAATACAGCCTGACTCTTCACCCCTGGCAGCCTGGTGGCACTTCCGGAACCCTTGAACATGTTGAATAGGAAACTTAGCGTGCAAAAATTCTACATTTGGCAATTATTTTTGGTGCATTTATTTTTTTCATAAAATCACCCTCGAAAAGGGCCTACATTCATGACATTGTAAGCTGTAAAACTGTTACTACCGGTACATGTACATTGTACATGTAGCATCTCAATTTATGGAAACTGAAAAATCATCTGACGTGAAAGAGAAATATCGTGCCAAAATATAGCTTACTTCCAAAAATTCCGAAAAACACATATGGACCACTGGATATTAATGTGTACAAAGATGAAAATCTATGAACTAATTTTGTGGTGGTCATTGGGTGAAAACTGAAACTAGGATAGGAGACTATAAAAATGTCTCTTAGGATGTACATGTACACATGTACAGGTACACAATTTTTTTTAAAATAAACTTCATGGACTCAACATGCTCAAAACCTGTCAATATTAAACAAGTGCTTGAAAAGGAAATGTACTGTACATGTATGTCCAACCACATACATGTACATGTATGTACATGTAGTTGTCTTTGATGTGAAAACAAAAGGGAAAGTGACAGCAATGTAATTTGTATTTTCTTTGTGACGTTTGATCACTAAAAGGAACTTCCACTCTTTAAGATTGATAAAGCAAGAGTCAAGTATTCAAAAAACAACAGAAAAGGGGCCAACAAACTTTATAACAAGGAAATACCGGCAGTTTAAACCTACTATTCAGATACACATTTTACACAATTGATGCAGCCTTTGTCATGTACATTTGTATGTATCACATTTAGTTACAGATAGTCAAATAAAACAATTAATATTGAAGTTGAACAAAGAAATCGACTGGAGCAGGGTTTTTGAACCTGCGACCTCCGGATTACCATTCCGGTGCTCTACCATGTCTACCAACTGAGCTATCCAGCTCTATGTTGGCAGTTCCCCATTTTGTCAATTTTTTGTTCAAGGGGCGCTAGTCAGAAGCCATAAACCTGTAAGCCAGGGATCAAGTCAAAATGCTAGCATCATTAGCAATTAAGGATGTGACTTTGCATTTAATTTTACATACATTTGTAGGTGCACATTTAGCAAATATTTTAAGAACCGTTTAAACGTTTAGCCATTCCAAACTTGGGCTGCAAACCCGGGAAATAGCAAACGGGGATCACTCAGAGAGGATACGTACATGTACGGTACATATACGGCTTTTTCATTAAAGGGAATATACATCATTTGCTTTTGCTGTAATTTTCAGAAATGGATGGAATTGGGGGGTTGGAAATATAAAGCAAATATAGTTACACTGACTTTTTGGAGGTTTTGGGTTCGAAAATGCTATAAAAACCAAGAAAAACGATCATTTTCCTGTAGTCTGGTTCCCTGACTCCATATAAGAAGAAACAGAGCAGTTTACATACATTGGGGAATTGTAAGGTCAGGGAACCAGTCTAGCTGGCTCGTACCCGTTCATAGGTTTGTAATCGATTGCAAACAAGTGCAATGGTCAATTGGGGCCAGTATTTGAAAAAAAGCCAGTTGTTTCCAACGCTGATCGGCCGATCAGCGTTGGAAATTGATACAAAAATACCACTTTTCGTGAAAATGACAGTATACCAGATGCCATAATTTTACAGGATGCTTTAGACTGCCATTTACCAACATCCTATTAAGGTATTTCGCAAAAACTTGGTAGTTTTATTTTTCGATGTTTGCAAATGTTGTATATTCCCTTTAAAATCAAATTTACACAAATATACTGACCATGCTTGGAGTCTATTCAACGAGTGATTAGGCAGATGCTCATCTGATGAAGAATACTTGTATAAAATTAGTAATCACTGCAGTCTCACATATTTTATGTACAAATATATTTATCCAAACACCGCGTCGGTCTTCTGCTGTACTGAATAAAAATAGATCCAAGCACTTATGAGGTCCTTTCCTTCCGAGAAAATAAAATCAACTTGAGCTTCACACGAGGGACGTCCGACCATCTACACAGCATCACATGAAATGGCCGAATAAATGTTTTGTTTTCCTAGATTTTCCAGAATACACGGAGCACTTCCTGTACAGTTCCCACACACCCCTACAATAACTCACCCACCTTTGTGGTTTTTTAGGGTCGTTAAGGATAACAATACAAAGGAAATCAAAGTCACCGATCCCGCGACAATAGAGGCGTGTTGTCTGTGCTGCTATGTCCATGAGTCGATTACAATGGGATAAATATTGAAATGAATCTGCAATGTAATTAAAGGGTTTCACAACAGTCGGACTGAACACAAAATTTCTACAAAATCACAATACTAATGTGTGTTCATCAAATTACTTGTTTTTTTTTATGTACATGTACATGTAGGTTTTATTTTCCTAGTGTACAATGTTTGTGTAAGCAAATGAAACAGATTTTCAATTGTTTGTAAGAACTTGAACGTTCTACATGTATGTGACAACATGCATTGGTACGTACGATCTGATACACCGTGCCCTCTGGAGACATGCACACAATAGGGAACAAACGATATAGGGCAATTTCTATAGATGAATACGTCTCCTCAAGGTTTTCATGAAATATGGAGTTTATTCAAAAACTAGGACTTTCCAAGGTATGTTCACCGTTCTCTGGTTTGAAATGGAGTGGCCAGATGCCAAAAAAAGGCATAAATCCCATCGTTGGCAATCTTTCAGTGAATATTCAGCGTATCACTGTGCGTACGGATACATTTCGTGTTTTGTTCGTGATTGTGACAAATTCATAAACATTTAATGCCTGGTTTTGCTTGCTTATAAATGTATGAATCTGGGGTGTCAGGTTAGCGTAGGAGGAGTCAGGTTGGCGTAGCGGTACTTTACTCGCCTTCAACCGCTGTGAACCTGGTTCGAATCCCGCCTGGGCCAACATGTGGATTAGTTCTCAGTCTTCCTTATTCCGTGGGTTTTCCCCAGATTATTCTTCCGGGGTTTTCCTCCCACCTCTAAAACTGCTTCTCACTGTCATTGTCTCCAGGTTTCTTCAGGCAAGCTTGCGAGTAGTGCCTGAGGTGCTTTTAAGGAATCTTTCGTATCATTACCAGAAACAATTAATAATAATCCATGACTCTAAAACCCTCATACCTATTTTGACACAAATTTGGCAGAGGGATTTTTTTTTTTTCATTTCAAGAAAGTTCCAAGAAATAGGCCTACATGACATGTACTACATGTACATGTACACATTCACACAGTATATATGGTATACATGAACACCCCCGCAGAATTACAGAATAGTTAGTAAATTTTATGTGCAGTACAAGCTGGTTTAAATCTGTAGGAATTTGATGAAATTACATATATACATTGTATACTGTACATACATTGTACATGTACGTGTAATATACGTGCATTATTAAAAGTTACATCAAATGGCAATTTCTCAAGGAATAGAAATCAACATAGTGTTTTAATTTATCCCTGCCATTTCCTAATGTGTACATTAATTTACACATGTGTACATGTACATGTACATGTGTCATTCTTTAAAGAAAAGTTTTGTAAACATCCCATAACATTGAAATTTCACCACCGATAACCATGGTAGCCATAATTAAAACCTCAGCCTTCCTGTTTTGGGGCATGCTTGATGACAACTGTTAAGTCCCTTTATGTACCGGTATATTAAAAG